CCTGTGGTTGTAAGCCGCCCTGAGTCCCCTCAGGGAAAAGGGCGGCATATAAATCCCAATAAACCTCTAAACCTCTAAAGTCACTGCATTCTCATCACTTAGATGATCCAGAAATTGCAACTATGGTGTGCAAAATAGGGAATAATCTAGTGGTGGGTTCCGGATCCCGTTGCAACCGGTACAATGCAACAGGGCTGGGTGTCTACCACATGAACGCGTGCTACATGCGCCCACATGCACGCAGTGCACACATACGTACTTTCCGTCTGAGACACTTCTGTGACGCTCCAGTTGCTCGGCGGAGCATTGCGCAGGTGCCATACGCTCCGTGCATGGAAGCGCCGAAGAGCTCAAATACAGGAAAGGAAGGTGGGTGGGCCCTCCGGAGCACCGTACTGGAACAGTACCCGGTGCTCCCGGCAGGCACCAGTATGCCCGTACCGGGGCGTACCAGTCGTAACCCACCACAGGAATAGTCCCTATATTGATTGGAACACCTGGTAGTGTCATGAAAACACCAATAGTAAAGGGTCTGCATTGATTGCCAGTTTGTTTCCAAGTGCATTTCTCAATGCTGGTAATCACCTTGAAAGTTCTATAGGAGTTGAAGTCTGGCTCCTTATGACACAGTTAGACAAAGTAAAATCTTTCTTCCTGCTCCCAATTTTAATGTTCAGGAAGTTTAAAAAATCATGGCTTTTTCAAATATGCAATTTGAAGCAGTTGTATGCTTCACTATACTTACTGAAACAGTAGTGGGTGGAAGTAATTGCATGTAATGAATATTTTGTAGTTCAGGGATATTTGACACTATGGTTTTATATTTGTTTTCTAAAATTTATTGAATATTTTGATACATTTTAATCACTATGTTGATATATATTTGTACATTGCCAAAATAAAGCAAACTCCTCACATCATTAAAGGTATATGCTGAGAGCCTCTAGTGAGGAGCTAAATTGACCTTCTTCTTCCCAATCAAACTATCTAAAATTTTGCTGTCTCTCATTCCTCTGAAATGCATTTTCTCCCTCCTGGGAGCTCAGACTACATTCCACCACACCATGAAACAATTGGATTTTGGGCAGTTGGTGGTACCACAACCACAATAAAGTACTTTTGGGTTATTTTTTACTCCTAGTGACTCCTAGTGACTTTCTGAATAAGGCATGCATTGTGATTTAAATGAACTTTAAATTTCAAGAGCCAGTTTGGTCTAGTATTTAAGGCACCAGGCCAGAAAGCAGGAGACAAGTGAGTTCGAATCCCTCCTTAGTCTTGAAACTCAGCTGGATGGTTTTAGGACAGTCAGTCCCTCAGCCCAACCCACTGCACAGAGTAATTGTTATTGCTGAGAAAATAGGAGGAAGGAGTATTAAATATGCTTGCCACCTTGAGTTGTTTATAAAAATAATACATAAATAAATTTCATGCCCGTAATTTACACTAACATCATTCATATACTTGACTTACCTAATTCTTTTGATCCTTGACTTTCACTGGCCAATTCTCCCATTTTAACCAGGGCATCAAAATATCCTTTTGCAGCATATGTCACACCTAGATAATAAAAAGTATAAAATTAAAACATTACACCATATTTATTTTAACTTAAATTCTCAAAATATCACACAAACGAGTTTTTATATTTCAATTATTTTCATTAATAATAGTAATCCTACTGTATAACCATTTATAATTATAACATTAATCAAAGTAACTATTATTAAAACTATTACTATTAATACTATTTTATTTTGCAGAATATTGGCCATTATCACTATTTGATTGCAGCAAATTGAAAGACTGCCATTTATTATTATAGATTTATGATGGAAATCTTTAAATCAAAGCTGGAATCAGATGAAACTAGAGTGGAAGCATCAATTCTCATTCAGATATCTTAATGTATTTCTCCTACAACTAGATCCAGAATAAAGACAGACCAAGCATGAAAGAAGTTATGCAGTATTTTTGAAATACAGTTTTGTTAAATGAGTTTAATATAGTAACATCCCTCTTCCATAATACAGGATGTTAATTGATTCCTCTTTTATTTTCAAAGCATAATTACTGGTTCCTTAAAAAAAAAACCTCCAAAAGCCCACTGATCCTCCAATAAGTGTTTAGGGCTTTGCAGTTGTGATACAAATACATAAGGGCATGTAACTATTCCAGTTACCATTTGCTTCAAAACTACCTGAAATTAAAGCCAAAGTTCAATAGTTCTCTAAACGTTTGTACTTAGTCCTTAATAAAAGTAAACCCCTTAAATTGTACTTTTCCACATTTCACAGACAAACCAAGAGAAGAGTTTTTCTTGTAATTCCTCCGTGCCTAGTTCTTCTACTACCACTTAGTCTCCAGAATTCTGAATTCCCAGACATTATAGTTCATTGTCTGCCCTATATTTAATTTATACCTCCTGCCTATTCCATAATAGTTACCATAACTAAATTGCCCATAACCATTTCAGCCTTTTATTATATAGCATCTTAAAATTCAAAGCGTAATTTGACCTCATAATAAATCTTCTTGAATTTGTTAGAAGGGTAACAACTCTCAAAATTCAGCAATAATTACATTAACCAATATCTGGATGTGCACTTAATTGTGGGAAGGATAATGGTATAGATTACTTCTTGGCCTTTTGCCTAAAAGCAAATATGTATGGGATAAATGTGCATAATGCAATTTTTTAAAATTGTTCTGAAAAATCTGAATTGCAAAGTAACTGATTTATCATGAATAAAAACACAGAACAGTCATAAATATTAATTTTAACCTCGATTAATAAATGTTTTCTGTGCAAGAATACAAAGGAATTGTATTGAAATGCTGGATTTTAAATTAGTTGCATTGTCATAAATCATGCTATGTTTTTTACTTCTGCTGATTTTGGTGACAGACATCTTGCATATATACACTATATTGCCAAAAGTATTCGCTCACCCATCCAAATAATCAGAAGCAGTTGTGAGCGAATACTTTTGGCAATATAGTGTAAGTACACAATTTTCATCTCATAGCATAGGCTACTCAACTGTAAAGCATTCACAAATATCCATATTTTATACATACATTCCTCATGTGAATGAATTATTTTTATTACTATTTTTACAGCAGTTATTAAAACAAATCACAAAGCTGTAAGACGAACTAATGCAATCATTAAGCAAATCCATTCTCCTCAATGGGCATGTTTTTTTTAACCAGAAATTTCCCCACCCCACCCCAAAAAAACCCTCACAAATTGTGGTCATGTGACCACAGAACACTGCAACTGGTAGTAAATGCAAACCGGTTGCCAAGATGTTTTATGATGGCCAGAAATGTTTTACGGGCCATGGAGCCCCCTTTCTGGGGCTGTTGTAACTTCAAATAATCATTAAACAACTGGTTGTAAGTCAAGGATTATTTATACTGATCCAAAGCAATGTGGAAAATGTATATTATTCTTGCAAATTTGTCTATTAGATATCCTTGGGTATATGAATCAATTCCTTGGTGCTCTCTGAGCTTGGTTCCTTTCTTGCAGATGCTTCATTAACCAAACTAGGTAACATCATAATAATGATGTTATCTAGTTCAAGTAATGAAATATTTGTAAGAAAGCAACTAAGCTCAGACCATAGCAAGGACCCCTTTACAAATATTCCCTGTTATTTTGATGAGCTAGAAAAGCATTGTATGTCAAAATGTCATCAAAAGAGGGCTGCATAATTTCATGCATTTTTATGATAGAAAAATATCTTCTTATGTAAATTTTCTTTCTGGCAAAAGATCACCAAAACATAATTTAAATCAAAGCTTCAATATTTCAGCTTCTTCTGAAGACTGCAGTTCAGTCTCTGAATACATGGAATGGAAAAGTGCAACTCTTGAATGTGTACCAAGTTATCGTGCTATGAGAAAGTCCAGTTCTGTTTGCACCAGTGGTGAAATTCAATTTTTTTTACTACCGGTTCTGTGGCATGGCTTGGTGGTGGGGTCCTGTGACTGAGTGGGCATGACCAACTCGATGACACTCATGACCACCCCCACTCAGTCACATGCCACCACCGCCATCAAGCCACGCCCACAGAACCTGGTAGGGAAAAAAAATGTCTATGAGTCCATTCACAGCTGCTCCCTTTATGGTCCCCCCCCTGGCTCCCTCCCTCTCGGGGGTTGAAGTACCTTAAAGGTGGCGCAGTGGTTAAATGCAGCACTGCAGGCTACTGCTAGATCAGCAGGTCAGCGGTTCAAATCTCACCGGCTCAGGGTTGACTCAGC